CGGGGCGAGGCCGAGGGGAGGGGCCCCTGCACGCGCCGCAGGGCACACACGCACGCGCACGCACGCACGCGCACGCGCCGATCGAATGCCCGCCCTCGCCACCCGTGGCCGCCGCCGCCTCCGCTCGCGTCGCGCTCCGTGCTGCACTAGGTGCAGCCCGCCCCTGCAAGTCACACTTCCACGAAAGGCAGAAATACACCAACTATATAATGGGTACAGACATGCACCCGCACATCACGCGAAGACAGCACACTGTTTCAACTGATCGGGACATGTTGTTCGTACAGCCGTGAGATTTACAACACATCACTTAAAATAATACCAAAAAGTCCTCTTCCCGGAAAGAATTAAGTTAAAACGCAAAAATAGAGCATAATTACTATAGACGTGCATGTCTATTTTATTTCAAAGAATATTTTTAAGGCTTTTGGTACATGAACGTATGGATATTCACAAGAAATCTGTCAAGAAAAACATTCTTTGTCTCACCCCCCCCCTAGCAAATTCACAACTCGTAAAGAAAAAATATTCTCAGTTTCCGTTCGACGAGGTAACGTTAAAATAAGCCTCCTACCAATTTCTTTTAAAAAATACAATTTGTCTTTAAAAATTAGTGTTTTTGCAATAAAATGAGAATAATTTGTTCTCGAAAGGTTTATATTACTATGTTATAAAATGTTTCTGTCTTCAGTTTTTCTTCTCACAACTTGTTTCACAAACATAGAAATCGAATGATAAGTGGGAGTAGAGTATATTTTGAGTGTAGTGTAATTAAGATTAAAATCATTAAATAAATATATTTTTAAAGTCAATAATAGAAGAAAAAAGACGAAAGGCATTAGCGAATATAAGTGTGTGACAAAAAAAAACGTTGCGTGCAAGGGGAAAGTATTAAGAGTTGGATTTGCGTCACGTCGTAGGATAGTGGACACTCAAGTGAGGATATTGTTCTATTACTACAGTAGAGAATGAAAGTAGTGTAGTGCGGAAGCAGTATGGAGATGTGACGATGAGCTCCGCGCTACGTCGATAATTTTGGATTTTAGTAAATATCTTAATACGGGCAGTCAGTGGTAGAATGGTAGCATTCTCAGATAACGAAGTAACATTTTGGTACTTTTGACTAAAAAGAGTAAAATGTAGAGTCGGTAGGTTTGAGTGTAGAGGAGGGGGAGCTGGATCACGACGGAGCCGGTGGAGAAATGGATTTTGGCGCACCAAGTACATTTGTTGATCAACAAACGTACGATCTTTATCAAGAGAGTAATCGAAAACCATCGGAAGGAAAGTAACATTTTCAAAAAAGACTGAATAGTAATGTACAATACCCAAGATCTGCACTAATTTTAGATATAAAAAGTATTATAAAAACCGTTGCCATTAACTTAAAAATATTGGTAAAATACATAGATCTGGGCGTATGACATATAATGTAATGCTATTTTTAATTTGTTGTGAATGTGATTTTTACTTTATAATTAGAATGGTAGTTATAGTTATTTCGTTAGGATGTATGTTATTTGAATGGTAACGTCTGAAACAGTTCAGTAAGAATAAATTTGGCAACCAGGCGATGTTGAGTGTAACATATCTTGAACAAATGTTTTCATTTGAGTAAGAATGAGTGTTTTCATTAAAAAATTTTACAATTTAAAAGTTATATCAGCCGAGACCTCGATGGGCGATATACTTTGAAGCTCATACGATTGGAATAGAAAAGAAAAATAGAAAATGGAAGAATACATGAATCCCTGGTATCAAAATATCACGAGAATTGATTCAGAGAGGTTGGCCAGGCGAATCCTATTGTCCAACCCAATGGGAAGAAGAAACCCCGGGCACCCGAGAGCAAGAAGGTTAGAAAGATGGAACCAAGGAGACGTAACAGCCTAACTACATGAGGAGAAGAAGAAGAGAAGGAAATGCTTGAGATAAAATTACGATAGAATAAGAGGAATCCTGTAGATTAATTCCTGAGATAGCTGTAAAATATTAGAAATATATTAAACGTAATAAAACAATGTTGTGTGGGGTGTGTGCGTACGTATGCGAGAGAAAGAGAGAGAGAGAGAGAGAGAGAGAGAGAGAGAGTGAGAGAGAAGGCGACGATCGAGGTTTTAATATATTCTATTATTGTTTTTCTTTGGTTATTTTCAATGCTTCTATTCCATTTTAGGCGCCAAAAACCTACCTAGTTTTTGTGCCCTAACATCCGACGGGTAATAATAAATTAATGATTATTTTGATTAAAGTGATGAACATATATGATTGAAATTCATTATGAAACACGCAATAAAGCTGTGAACAGTTGCAACCAAGCAGTTATCAGGGCTTGAACTCGGTTCCCAGGACCCGAGGCGGGACACACGAACTGCAGCACGAACACGGACCCAGTCACGAAGATTCTGAAAATACTCTCCATCCATTGAAGTTCGCCGAGCAAATTTCTAATAATCCCTATTCTGTGGTTTATAATTATCTATCATTTATAACCACTTTTTTGGCCAATTAGTTCCGTCATTTTCGATTCACGCGTGAAATATCCAAGTGATTAATTGCATGTTATTACGCTGGATTAAGATGCATCCAAACTTTCTGAAATGTTAAGGCTGGCAGTAAGTTTCTAAAAAATAAATTATGAAAGAGGTGGATGTCCCTCTTAGAAGGTACCTTACTAATTTGAATATCGTCGTTGACAGTGATAAATGTACTTTTTTGCTGGTCTGAAAATTTTCTCCTTGGGGACAGGTGTGTCAAATTATAAAATGTTATTTTATTCATTCTTACAAATATTATGGCTGTTTTAAATAATATTTTCGTTTAAAACTAAATAACACGTGCTAAAAACCTATGATTAATGAATGCTTTGCTATAGTCGTTCTTTGTAAAAATTAAATACTGTGGTTTTGATGGCTGAAAATAGTTCAAGATTCTTGTGTTTGAGGTAATAATTGCATAAGAGTGGTAAGTTGTCTGGGTCATCGTAAAAATTAGAACTTATTCGAAACATTATTGAGTAGATCAACAATTATTTATTCCTGTATTAAATAACTTGAATAATTTCTCTTTGATCGGTGGCCACATGACAATAAGCGAATGGTTAAACATTTCTTGAAATTCAAGTCGGATGGTAGTTAATTTTCTAGATAAAACGGCACCAGGCACCAGGCAAGTCAGCGACCATACGCTTGGGAAAAGAAGGACTAAAATAAGTGAATTTTTATTATATTAGATATTGTATTTCAAAATTGAAAAATTAAAATTAAATAACGCTTTTCTTATTTTCAATTTTTAATTAATATTGTCCAAAAATCAAATATTACCATACTTCAAATACAATATTTATTATCAACCTGATAATAATCGAATAAAATGTATTTTATTAAAAAGCATGAACGATTAAGAAAATTAACTAGTATAAAAACGTGGTTAGGTTGCGAGAAACAATGAAATGCGGTCCCAATTATCATCACTTCTGTCGAGGTCCTGAAGTCTGATTTCGACCCTGTTTCGAAAATTTGCCCTGCTTCACATTCACATTACCTTGACTCTGAACCCACATCAATGAATCAAAGAAACGTTGCTCAATGTGCTCATTAACGAGGTGTATGAACTTTCCCCATAGAATGAGGAAGTCAGTGAAGATAACTTCGGTAATTATATATAGAAAGAATATGGAGATTTTAATTTATACAGTACGATGTGTAACACGTCCCACAGTTTAGGAGTTAAAATATTTTGGGGTTTGAGGCAATATTCTTAAGAAGTCCCTCTAGTTCATTAAGTAATATTCTTAAGTCGTTGAAACATTAGTTGTGTCATTGTAACTTTTGAAATACAAAAATATACTCTTTTAAAATATATTAAAGTAATTATAAATAAATACTGTAATAATTATCTGTTCATTTAAAATGTTTTTTATATTGTTTAGACACTACTGTATAACATATAGTAACAAAAACAAGTCAAGGAGTTTAAAATTAAGCCTGAGGACGATAATATTGTGATTACAGTCATTAAAGCGCATTTTCTAAAAATAATTTGCAAATATACACCCAGGAAATAAAATGCAGTATTTACATAACAGCAGAGACTTTGTTACGCAATTCCAAATGTTCCAAATCACAGAGATATGTATGAATGTATGGAGTGAAGGAAAACTGCACACGCAGTGTACAGCCCTGGCCAGAGCGATTAGGGGCAGGCCACCACAGCAGAGATAGCGAAGGGCCACAGCGCAGCGACGCCCAGGCTCACTCGGCGGGCAATCAGCCGCGCGCACTCCCCACACGCGCCAGGAGAAGCACGCCGCGAAATTACGATTAGTTTGCATTGTGGGCATGTTAAGAGGGGATACAATAATAAAGTGATTTTCAACGGAAGAGTGGTTATAGGTTAGAAGAAAGCTGGACGAAGTGAAAATTAAAAAAGAAGACTCGAATAGAAATGTTTATTCTTGTGTTTCACATTGTGTTGTTTCAAAGGAAGTAGGAGCAAACTACAATGTGTTTACGTGTAGAAGGTAGAGAGAACGGACAAAAAGCGAGTCAGGAACTGCACCTGTGACCTCCAAGAACTCGTGTTGAAGATGAATCGTAGTGTGTAGTGGACGTGAAGCGTGTTCGACTACTTCCAAGCAGTCAAGCGAGGTGTTAGTGTCGAGGTCGGGAGGCGTGAGGAGGGGAAGCGGCCGGAAGTGGAGTGGCGATGCAGCGCCTGCTCCAAGAGCGCGCCCCCCGCCAGGCGCCCGCCGTCTGGTTCGTCGACGGCAGGTACGACGGGTTTCTTCATCTTTCACACCCAGAGCTCCATTTGGAAGCGCTAAGTTATTGAATCACTAGATTTGGCTGTCTATGTTATTACACAGTACATTGTAAAAGCTATAGTGTCACATTGTCTCACTTTTTTGAATGACCTGTTGATGTGGATATACCTGAATTTGGATATCGAAGAAATCAACAAACAGTATGGAGAATGAGATAACAAACGTTATTGGCGAATGATAAAAAATTAACTACTTCAATGCAGGTGCAATACCAAAAACTGGTGTTAAGTATCTGTTGTAATAAAATCTATATTAACCCCCAATTCATATAAAAACAGTTGTCAATTTTGTCCCCCAGATAGTTGATAGCGTAGTTTGAGAAAGAATCTAACTCATCTTCAGTTTATTTTCGAAATTAAAGCAAACCCTCCTCCCAGACGAATTCGAGAGTTTAAAGATATTTAATGAAATAGGAAAGTGAAGAGGTACTAGTGACACTTATTCCTCCTGCCTCTTTTAACATTGCAGAATTGTTAATTTCAAGGCAATACGTTTGGTTTGTGAACACTAAAATTATCTACTTGTCATTTTAGTGCTATGTGTCCATGTTGAGTTGCATTTTATAAATACTTGAAACGTATTTGACGGAAGCGGAAATGAATCTGAGTTTGTAATTTGAGTTTTCAAGCTTATTATTTTAGAGCAATGGTCTGATTCAGATTCTGCTGTTACATATTTGATACAATGAGAAACGAACGTTTTTAGATATTATGTCTAAGATGTCTGGAATGATATTCAGATCATAAAGGTAAATAATGGGTTGTGATTGTTCAACGTTATTATTTTGTAAGAAATTAATACGCCTTGCTTTTCTCCTGTTTTATTTGTTGAATTACATCCCCAAGGAGTATTTTTCCGGTTTAAATCTTCCGTAATTAGAGTTGATCTAATACTATTTAGAATGCACTTTAGCGTCTTTTCTGGATATGTTTTATTTGGTGATTTACAGGCCGATACTATTATCATGTCTCCAGGAACTGAGCTGATTTGTGCACCGACCGTTTCTAGGTTACCAGAATATGGTAAGACTAGTGGAATGTGGCGTCGCTGTAAACTGTTTTAAGAGTTTTTCATGTGATGAAAATTTCTAAATGTCACGCATAGCTTTTGTTCAAATAAGTTCTTTCAGTTTCTGGCATTGGGCATACTAATGAATCGTAGAAGCGGTAATGTTATACTCCCATTCAAAAAATTTTAACACTGAATGACTTTGAATGCTACTTCCATATGGGATATGAACTGGTAATACTATTGCAATTTCAAATTTGAAATTGCCGTAAACAATTATTTCAGGCACGGATGATGCGAATAGTTAGAATTTAGTACAGGTACACTTTCTACGCCTTTTTTGCCAATATTCACAAAAATGCGTATAAAATATCACCTGTAAGCTGTTCTTCAGCTTTACTCTAATTCTAGTAAAATATCATTTTCAATCAGTTTCGAAAATTCTGTCCGAAATTCTTCTAGATTTGAGTCTTACCCCCTATTTGCAGGCTTAAGAAAGTAAAGTGCAAATTCGAATACGCATGTGCTTACTTTCTCTAATATTACTCACATTTCTGGTTTTCTCCGTATTCACTTGGCGCTCTTCAAATTTAATAAATTTCAAGGTAATACTCCACAAGGTAATACTTTACACAGGAATAGAAATACGGTCGAAACACTTCCTTTCTTATGTTCAAAGCAGCGTCACTATTGACGGTTCAGCTGCGTGTTTTACACGTTCCAGAAAAAATAGTGTTGCCATCCTCGTGGAAGAAAATTATGACGTCGTTGAGCAAATTTGCCTCTGAGTACCGACGTTTAATCAATGCCATCTGCATCGATCTATTTAGGTGGCTAAAGCACGCAAAAACACATTTTTGGAAATTTGTTAAAATCTGTGGCCGGATCCGAAAACAAATTATCATTTTCCCACCAGGAGATCGAGACACGTCGAATGACCTTTCATGTATATCGATTGGTATACGTCAAGTAGTCTAACCGTGAGTGACAGATCCACACACGCACGCACACTTTCAGTTACTCAAATTCTTTATAGGAATCAGTTCATAATGTTGAATACTTTGTTTTATAATTAATATTACTCCCCCAGATGCATTTTCTGCTGCTCTATTCTTCCTGTAGGTGTCATAACCTGCAATGTTAAAATTTATATTACTATGGAGATGGGATTCGGTATTGTAAGTAATGTCTATTGCTCAGTTTGAAAGGAAAAACCTGAATACGTTTTCTTGTCTTTTCAGGCCGTTTTGTACTCCAGTTTAAAATGTTCACATTCTTTGTTTTCATTTTTGGCATTATCCAGTTCTCGGAATATTTGTTTGCATATATTTCCTATGTATGGTATAATATCTGCAATTACTAGTGTTACTATTTCTGTAATTTGGTATATTTGAAGTAACTGTTTCCGAGAAATTTGGAATGTATTACCTTTGCTATAGAAGGGGGAATTCTTTACTATTTAGTGGCTTCGCTAATTTATCTTTCCAAGCATTAATTCATTCAAATCTGGTGTCTGTTGCATATGAGTTTCTTTAAGCTTTTTGTAGGGATATTGGTAAATGTACATACACGTCATTCTGGTCAATTGTTTTGCTTTTCCCAAAATGATACAATTGTCATTTTTTTGATCTCTCTCTCACATCATAATGTTTACAAAGCGGCGATTCGTCCACACTTTTGGATTTATGAGTACACGTGCTTCAAATGATGTCTAATCAAGTTTCTCGAAAACTCAAAATTTTTCTGGGAAAATGATATCAAATTTCCAAATTTTCAGAAACACTCTAACGCCATTTTCTCAAAAACGGTTCGAAAATTTTTCTTCAACATTTTTGTACGTGTAGTGTTTAAGATGCACGGTAGCACGGTTTAAGGTGACATAAATGTAATTTTACGGCATTATATATATATATATATATATATATATATATATATATATATCATGCAGTTAATATGCACATTTCCCGAAATATGAATACATTATTACATTTGTGATTGGATGTCCTTCAAAAGAAGCATCTTAAAAACTAAAAAGTTTTCTGTAAAAGACCTTCAAATTTCATATTAACTGTAACACTTAAATGACTTTTTTTTAGACACGGCTTCAAATTTGTTCACGAAAATTTCCATATATGACGAGATTTTACTCCTCTGTAATATTCTTTAATTACATTTGTGAGTGAATACGCTTCAAATGACTTCCAATGAAGGTTCTTCAAAACTAAAATATTTTCTGTGAAAAAGACCTTCAAATTTCGCTTTAACTGTAACGCTTAAATGACATTTTCTTAGAAACGGCTCAAATTTGTCCACGAAAATTTCCATATAGAACGAGGTTTTACTCATCGGTAATATTCTTAAAGTAATATTTCGGTTCTACCATTAGGAAACCGAATAATTGAGAAGGACCTTGGGCAACGGCAAATGAAATGAGCAACGTCAAATGAAATGAAATGGAATATACCGGTTAGGCTCTACATAATTATTATTTATTTATTGAGGAATACCTTATTGTTTGCTAATGTGATCAGGGGAATTATTGCGTGCTTGCAAGATCGAAATTATCTGGTCAATATAACAACTGGCACAAAACGTTTATAATTTCATGCTGTTGTGATTTCGGTGGCTTATAAATTAATATTAAATAATAATTAAAATAATATAATTCATAACATTTAACAAAAATTGGAAACAAAACACATAAATATATTTTATTTTATTCAATCAATTTATCTTTATGCATTATCGGTATATTACCATTCATACATTCTTTAGTAACACTTCGGCTCATGGTGATATGGTGATACTTAAATAATCTTCCTACATTTAAAACCCAAAATAATATTAACAGTTCTCACTTCCCTTTTCTAATTCGTCAGAAAACTTGAACGAAGTCATCTTAGGTGTGCTGGATCCCATTCAGTTAAAACTTTTCGTCCATCAATTTCCACAAATTTGCATACCAAACCATTCTCTATGATATGAAACTTTACCACAATACATTACTTTTACATTCGACAATTGCTCTCGTTGTTTTGACCTTTACCGTGTTCGACACGTCCACAATCCATCAACGCTGCGCTGTTCTGACATTTAGCGTGCTGTGATACGTGGCCAGTGGTGGCTGGGGGGTTGCGAATTAGGAGGGGTGGCATGTATGCCCGAACTATCACATACATTGTTCTCTTAAAAATATTTGTTGAACGAGGAAAACTATAGCATGTAGAATACAATCAATTTGCACGCATCGGGGTTTTATTTCTTCACTAAGGAAACTTTTACTTTGATAACGGAAAGTACTTACGTGTACTTTGATAACAAAACTACTTACTTAGTACTCACGGAAAAATAAGAAATTATTTTAAAACAATTCTAGAAAACAGAACAGTAATGTATAAAATTAGAAGAAAGAGACGGTATTCTTAGCTTAGTTAATTGGCGTGGATTCTCCCGGACAAAACCCGAAAGGCCCATTCACAATGCAAACATAAATATTAGCATTATAGAGCATAGGCATAAACATTAACATAAGTGATAGACTGAAGTATTCACAATGTCTGATATAATCTTAAGCAAAATAAGAGATTCTATTGACTGTGAGACATTCTGGTTGACTAATGGTTGGATGTGAGAATCGATTTCAAGGTATTGACAGTATCCATGGCCCAATATGGCGTTAGTTCTTCTATCGACTTCGCTCCAATTTCGATTCTCGATTTTGAGTTACCTTTCTGTGATTGGTTCATTTCGTATGTCTTACTTAAGCATAAGCATAGAAGCTGGAAGCTTGCAAGCTTTTAAGTTAAGTGTTGTGCTTATGCGAACGCATTGTATATGAGTCCGCTTATGGACGCAGTCCTAACTTTAATGTTAACGCCATGCTTATGTTTATGTTTGTATTGTGGATGGGCCAATAATAGCAGCACGGTGTCCCCACCG